AGACGCCGAACTGCTCTGCCAAATTACTGTGCGACAAGACCAGCGAACAGTAGCTGAACAGTGCCTCATTAAAGACAACTATAAATAGCAGCTCATTTCATTTATTTTGTGGTTGTTGAAATTGAATTAACTCTACCTTCTCTCTACTTTCTCTCTCTAAAAGTTGTAAGAAACTCGCTGTAAGAATTGTAAGTATATCGCAAGTGCCGACCTCGTACGAGAGGCCGACCTCGTGATCGCCTAATAAAATCGTAATTAAACCGAACCGTTCTCCCCCTTTTTTCAGTGGTTCTCAACATTCTTTATTTTTAACCGTTGACCGAAAACGCTCGTCAACAATATATAAGGGGGATTTGAATACGTGAAACTTATAAGCTAACCAAATAAGTTATAAGCTAGCTTATGGTACTTAACAAACACACTTTTTATTCTATAAACTAGATTTTCAGCCATAAGTCAATATAAACTAACTCATTTAAGCCAATGTTATGAGATTTTTTTACTAAAAAAAATAAGTAAAAAATGAGTGGACAATAAAAAAAATGTGGACCAAAATCAGAAGGTCGTATTCAGAGAATACGTTTTACACGTAAATTAATTGTAAAACGTATTTTGCAAATACATTGTATAAATAATATTAATTTTATAATTTATATTTAATTGTAAAACGTATTTTGAAAATACGTTTATAAATAAAATTAATTTTATAATTTATATTTAATTATAAAACGTATTTCCGTAATACGTTTAACAATTAATTAATTGTTAAACGTATTATGGAAATACGTTTTATAGTTAAAATTAATTATTTATATTTAATTTTCTTATTTTTTGCTATATATTAGCTTATTTAATGAGACGACTTCGGGTGTTCCGTCAGGCATCGATAAGCGAATCGAGCAAGAACAAAAAGTGCTTTCGAGAAAGCACGAGAAGAGGAGAAGCTGTTTGTGGCGTCGATTTATTATTTTGAGGTCCCGATCATTTAGTTAGAGAAACTCGAGTTCAAGGGTGCATATTAGTAAAATAAATAAAAAAGCCGTTTACGTGGGTCCCGCAAGATCGCGTGTGACTTCGGTTTACCAAGAATCGAGTTCGGGCGTGTACATAATTCAGGCACGATGTCATGCGGGGCATTTATCGAGTATTTCGGAGTTTCGAGCATTTAATTAGAGAAACTTGAATTCCCGTGGGAATAGTAGCAAAATAAGCGAGAAGAGGCGACTTCGGGTGTTCCGTCGGGCCTCGATAAGCGAGTCGATCATTAATGAAAAGTGCTTTTGAGAAAGCACGAGAAGAGGAGAAGTCGTTTGTAGCGTCGATTTATTATTTCGAGGTCCCGATCATTTATTTAGAGAGGCTCGAGTTCGAGGGTGCATATTAGTAAAATAAAGGAAAAAGCCGCTTACGTGGGTCCCGCAAGGTCGCGTGTGACTTCGGTTTACCGAGAATCGAGTTGAGGCGTGTAGAGGGATCCGTTAGCTACGTACAGGAAAAAACAAAACTCAATTCCGAGTTCTGATGAGCCCAAACGAGCACAAAACACAAAATAAATACTACATATTTAATTTATTTTATTAATTTTAAAATATAAAACGTATTAACACAATTCATTTTATTTATTTTGTTTTATAATATTTTCTAAATAGTTAAACACTTAATTTAAAAACGTATTCAATAAATACGTTTTACTAAAAAATATTTAAAATATAAACGTATTTTTGTAAATACGTAATTTTGATTTCGGGCTACTCCTTTTTTTTTTTTTCTTTTCTTTTGGTTCACTTATTTTTTAATTTTTTTTTTTAATAAATTACCCATGTTATGAACTTCAAAATCAAACAAAAAAATCAAAATGTGTGCTTTGGTGAAAAGCGCATAGATAATCTGCCTAGCAATAATTACTACCTTTCTCCGGTCTCTCTCAATTATGTAACGCTGACTTTTTCATCAAAAAAATCAACTCCCAAACCCAACTTTTTCCACGTTTTCTTACTTTTTTCATATTCTCCTCATTAACCCCCCATAAAGCTCTTTCTAAATGAAAGCCCATTTCTCATTTTTACACAAATATCATCACAATTTTTTTTTTTTGATTTCACAAAATTTCCTCTCAACGTTACATGGCCAACCCTAGAAAGCTTCTTCACTCTTTCTATATACTTCTCATGATTTTCAGCATCCCTTCGGAGTCGACATATGCTCGACCGTTGATCAGGAATCTAAGAACACTTGATTTCATCAAATTAGCCAAAATGTTACCTCAAGAAAAGAATAATGCGAATCGGAGGGGTGAAAGTTCCACGATCACGCAAGCTCGTAATGATCCAACGGTGGTAAATGTCGACGCTAGTCGCAGAATTTATAAGCTTGGACCGGCATTGGGGCCATCTCTCATGAACATGTTGCCTAAAGGAAATATTCATGTGTCCGGCCCGAGCAAGAGAATCAACGACATCAACAATTAGTTAGCGACGAACGGATTAATTATCTACAGGTTATTATTATTAATTATTTATATTTTTCTCTTGGAAATGTAAATTATACTATGGTAGAGTAAATTTGTGAGTTGTGTACTTTCTCTTAAATTATTGCTAGTAATCTTACATTCAAATGTGACCTATCCATATTTGTTTTAATTTGCCCTATAGGATACCATCTTTAATGGTAGTTTTTTCAAGTAATTTGATGGATTATCTTAGCAATTATATTGCTTAATTTAATTTTAGTCTTGAATTGTTGAGGTGGCATGCATGGGTGAACTTCACCTTTACAATCACCAAACCTGGACATATATAGTTGGCCTTGAAACCCCCGAGTAAATGTAATAATATCATTATTAATTAATTGTGGCCAACTTTTAGTTATACAAAAGACACATAAATTTATGGCTCAAATTAAATGGCCCGGAATATATGGATTTTTCATCAGTACTATAGTCAGCGGATTTTAATTTTTTTTTTATTTATTTTTTTTTATTTCTCTTTGCCTTTTCCTTTTTTTTTTTTTTGTCATTTTATTACTTACATACATTTTTAAGTTACTGATGAGAATGTATTATATGGTTGTTTTACTTAGTTTGGGGGAAAAAAAAGTATTTTACATTTGGATGCCAAAAATGAGTAAAGTATAATTTTCTTGTATTATCCATTTGAAAGAGTTGTAATATCTTATTTTAATTTGTATGATATATCGTCTGATATACTGTCTAATGGTTAGGCAGTCATACTCTTCCGATAAATACGCATAATTTTATACTAATTAAAATATTATACTTATAAACATACATAAACAAAAACATGATATTTTGTGGTATTAGTATACAATTTTCATATGTAAGTGCGACAGCCTAAATAAAGCACAAAAAGAAATACAAAATCCCTATATAAATTGGTGTAAATTAAATTGTCTATACTTGCATTAATTTGGTGAAATATTCAGTTGCACATGTCGCTTACACATTACACCTAGCGTGAAAAAGGAAAGCAATTGAAATATGTGTGCAATTATCTTCATCTCTCTTCATAATTTTTATGAAGGGATGAAAGTTGTATTAATTAAGGATTGATTATGTTGATATTTAATTCGAAGAAGGAAAAAAAATTTACAAACATGTTTTGATCTTCGAATAAATCGAACCATAACATCGAGACTTGCATTTGTTTTGATCTTCGAATAAATTTGGAAGGAGTCAAAAGGTACTTTCAATGTAAATACTCTAACGCTCAAATAAAAAAAATTAACCAACAAGAGTTGACTCAAGTAGTAAGCAACTTGATGTCGCTCAAGTAAAGTTTCGGGTTCGAATATTTGTGGATGCAGAAAACTATTATTTGGAGAATCACTCACCTCTGCCATATGTACGACTCGGGTCGCCCAACGAATTAATCGGAGCATAGCTCCAAATACTATATGTGACTGACTACCCAAAAAAAAAGAAATTATATTTGGATAAGAATAATCTCAAATAGGTTGCATAAAGTAACATGTTTCAGAATTATGTTACTAAATGCAATTATGCAAATATATTTAGCATTATTATAGCAACGTACGTACTTTCTTTGTTTACATATTTTGACGCTCGAACAATAAAAGCCATTTTCTTAACATCTTTTTGACTTTTTGGTCGTCTCTTGACTTGTCTAGCCCATCGCCCCTTAATGGGCTGTTAGCCAATTCTTGTTTCTTGGCTAATGGGCCTGGGCTGTCTATTATGTCGTTTCCCAGTTGCTTTGAGTAATGAGCCAATGGTATGCGGTTCAACAGATTTTACCGTCTATTTTATCAGTTTCAATAAATATTAAATTAATTTGTTATTATAATATAAGTAATGTACAAAACTAATTTTAATTAATACTAAAATTAATTAACATTTAATAACAATATAAACATATTAAAATTAAGTGTAGGACTTTCAATTTATATAAATAAAATAATGAAAATATACTAAAAAGAGTTTTTTTTTTTTAAATGGCATAAACCGGTAATTTGGTTGGTATTTGCCAGTAAAACCGGTATTTTTCGGTATGAAACTGATATAAACCGATATTTTGGCCAAAACGATATTTAGAGTGTAACTGTACCAGACGGACCACTGGTATTCGATATTACTGTTAATGCCCACCAATACGGTACGGTATTTAAAACATCGCTAAAATCTAAAGCTTCAGGGTATGTATCTGTAATTTTTTGAAGAAAAAAATAAATGAAAGTGCAAAAGTATTGAGGAATCAATTTGAATCCCTCGAGAGATTTTAGTAAATTAACATAAATTAACTAATATGCTTTTATTTTAGAAGAGTGTGCCTTGCTTGTAAATAGAATAAGAGACGATTCAAATTAAATTGAACAATTGGTCAATATGAATCCCTCTTCGACAAATTGTTTAATGAGGAGAGAGAGGGTCCTACTCTGGAGTTGGTTGACTCATTAGAGTATACCAATAGACGCTTGGTGAAGAGAATCCGAGAGGCAGATATCAGAGAGGCTGAAGAGGATGAAGGGTGGGAAAGCAATGGGCCCTGATGGTATCTCCATTGAGGTGTGGAGATGCTTGGGCTTCAGAGCGTTAGTATGGTTAACTAAGCTTTTTAACCTCATCTTCCGGTCAAACAAGATGCCTGATGAATGGAGGAGAAGTACTTTAGTACTGATCTTCAAGAACAAAGGTGATGTTCAAAGCTGTGGTAACTACCGTGGGATTAAGTTGATGAGCCATACGATGAAGCTTTGGGAGAGGGTTATTGAGCATCGCCTACGACGAGTGACGAGTGTGACCCAAAACCAATTTGGGTTTATGCCTGGAAGGTCGACCATGGAGGCGATTTTCTAAATACGACAGTTGGTGGAGAGATATAGAGACCAAAAGAAGGACTTTCACATGGTCTTTATCGACCTTGAGAAAGCTTATGGCAGAGTTCCGAGGAATGTCATGTGGTGGGCCTTAGAAAAGCACAAAGTCCCATCTAAGTACATTACCCTCATCAAGGATATGTACAAGGATGCGACGACGTGTGTCCGAACATGTGGGGGCGATACCAGCGACTTTCTAATTAAAATAGGACTACACCAGGGATCAGCATTGAGTCCTTATTTATTTGCCTTGGTGATGGATGAGGCCACAAGGGACATACAAGGTGATATCCCTTGGTGTATGCTCTTTGCTGATGATGTGGTACTAGTTGACGAGAGTAGGGCAGGAGTAAATAGGAAGTTAGAGCTGTGGAAGGACACGTTAGAGGCGAAAGGCTTCAGACTTAGTAGGACGAAGACTGAATACATGACGTGCGCTTTCAGCATGGCTACTCATGATAGCCTTGACGGGCAAGTGGTGGCCAAGAAGGAGACTTTTCGGTATTTAGGATCGATGCTACAAAAAGATGGCGGTATTGATGAAGATGTTAGGCACAGAATTGCAGCCGGTTGATTGAAATGGCGTCAAGCTTTAGGCGCTCTCCGTGATAAGAGGGTGCCACAATGGCTAAAAAGTAAGTTCAATATGACGGCGATTCGCCCGGCGA